TTTTTCACGAGTGATCACAGATAAATGTTCGTACTTAATCTTAACCTGAAAGTTTAACAATTCACACCACGCGCAAAACTGAGAGCAAAGATAAAAGTAAAACCTTTCTCACTAATTTCTAACTCGGCAGTACTGACATTTCACTTTTTTTAATAATGCACCCGGCCATTTTCTGAATCTACTTGCAGCTCTGCCCAAAGAAGAGTTACGTTGGTTTTTAGAAGGACTGTATCTCCTTCGAAAAGTTTCAGACCGTCCAGAAGCCTCGCTGAAAACGAAATTTCAATGTTACTTTTACATGTAGTCCAGCTTTCCTAAAATCAACGAATTCTTAAGAATTCTTGAGAATCTAAAACGTATAGTTTTCATAAGTTGAGAAAAAATCGTAAAATTCTGCGCAATTTTCTGTTAAGAATTCTTATCTAAAATATGTTACCAGTTATTTTAACATTACCTTTGGACTCTTTGCAGAACACGACTCCGAAAAAGCGAGAATGAAGAGTAACTTCATAATTCCCATCTCTGGCATCAGCCGAGCCAATGAAGTACAGTCAAAGCAGCTAGAATTTATATGAACTTGTGTCGATTCACCTGTTAAGAGCACTTTTTATTCAATGGAAAAACAACTTCTTTTCATTGGCATGGTGACGCAGTTGATTACATACGCCCCTGCTTAGACTTACTTGACCTCAATGAACAATTATGAAAAGAAGAGAGCCCCTCTTCAAAGACTCCAAGCTCTTTGTAGGTTGGAGATGCGCACGCATTAACTGCTTGGTATAATACGCCCCCTGCACTAGTCAAGATTGATAAACACAAATATTAACCAAAAACCGCAAATGAATCGCCTTCTCTACACAACTTTGTGTCATACAAGGTTTATTTCCGAAAAGGCAGTGGGTGGAAAAACTGTGTTCAAAAGAATATTTTAACTGCTCAGATAGTTTTCTTACCAACTCCTTCGATGATGGGCGAAAAGAGTGGGAAACATCATTTCCTATGAATTTAGCATTTTGATAAAACCCCGGATCACCACGAGAAGAGTTTCTAGAGCAAAAACCTGCAAACTAACTTTTCGTCAGGAGCGTT